GCATATTATAAATTGTCAATATATAATGAGTAAAACTGTGCCTAAAACAATGATCAATTTAAATCCATTTTCAGCATTATAAAATTTTAAAAATATACATTTTCTATAATTATTTTAATAATAATATATTGATTATGACTTGTGTTGTGCTACAATTAGTATTTTATAAATTGTTATGTGTACCTGCTATTACTCGTATATATCAATACCTATACCTTCTATGACTATAATTAGTATAATTTATTAAGATTTTAAATGCACTGAAATAATAGAGGATAGAATTTAAATTCTAACAATTAACTATACCATAATTTAATTTTTACAGCTATGGGGAGTATAATATATTTTTCATTGATCGATAGATACATTAATTTATTAAGATTTTAAATGCACTGAAATAATAGAGGATAGAATTTAAATTCTAACAATTAACTATACCATAATTTAATTTTTACAGCTATGGGGAGTATAATATATTTTTTTTATATAAGTTAATTTTTTATATTGTATGGCTTTTATTTAAAACAGTATAAATTAATGTATCTATCGATCAATGAAAAATATACATATTTTTTACGTGCAAAATAGGTGTACACAGGCATAAATACTATTTATTGAGCAAAACATGAACCTATATACATTACGCAGCATTAAAGTAATAATTGAAATGTGACTACATTTTCACAATATTGAATCTACAATCTACATATATTGCAGTAGACTGCGAATAGATTAAACACAACAAACTAAAAACTTATWTTATATAAGCATAGCTACTGATTCACTATAATACAGTCATAGTGGACAATAATGCATACAAATACACAATACAATGTAGCTTATAAAAAACAAACATTTATAAAATAACATTTTTTTTCAAGTCCATATTAAAATAAAAATATTTTATAATGTACCTATCTAAATAGGTATGTGAAATGTGATTTTTTGTTTATAATATTTATGAGTAGGTTGTATGAAATATTTAATTTTTCAATGAAACAAATGGCATTCGTAGCACTGTATGGGAAGGTGCTGAGTATTACATTTCATTGCTTGCACGGCCGCCTTATGTACCTATATCTCGTTATATGTTACATCACTGTATTATTTGACATTTTGAAATATAAAAGTTGGTACAATATTCCAAAAAGGCTACATAAATAAAATTAATTTTTTTCATACAGTAAATATAGGTACTTAAGTGCTTTGTCTATAAAAATTAAATGGCCCTGCATAAAAAATATCGATATAATTTAATAATAAAAACATATTTTCATCTACAATAATTTGTTAAATTTATTCAATCCAATCATAATATTATGTAAGATCAAAAAAATTTACAAACATTTATTATAAATTAGGTATAATACATATTTTGTATATTATATACTGTTGTTAATAGAAGGTAGGTATCTATTGAAATAAAACGATATGGTATGGTAGTTATGTGTAAAAACGTATAACGTAAAAGTATTTAAATCGTATTATAAACTATTTTATCTTTTTACTACCTTTATTTTAGAACAATATATTATCATGAATAATATTTTTGAACATCACATGTAATCGAAACAAGTTAGTTTTTAACATACTTAATGATGTACTCGTATATCTTTAATTTTTAATTTTTTTTTTTAATCGGAATATTACAAATACTCAAATCTATGATTTAGGTAGTTATAGTTAATACTAAATACAATTATACGAACATTTTATTGTAAACAAAGATGAGCAAAAGGAGAAAGAGCAAATTAATGTCATAACAAATGGTTACCTACGTAATAGGTGGAAAATTGTAAAAATTCTTAGCGAATCATTTCAATTTATCATTATAATTTATAGCATGAGTAAATATTATTTTGTGAAATAAGTATACTYTTTATAGGAGGAAAATAATGATAATAGAAACAGTTTTGTATATTGTGGTATTTGATGATTAGAATTCAAATATTTAAATTACAAATTATACATTAATGGATATTTAGTAATGATATAGGTAAACGAATATGATACAGGTAAGTGAGTTTTGGAATATTGGAATAAATTGTGAATAATTGTCGATTAACCCAGTATAATACATAATTACCAGTGACTATTTAATTATACGTTAACTGTGTTTAAAATATCACAATAAAATGTACCAAAATTCTAACTTTGCTATTTTGTTTATAATAAAAATAATCAATTTTGTGTAAACATCATCAAAAGTCGATACAAAATACGTTKCTATACAATAATTGATTTCAAATAAATAACAAGCTTTGGTAAGGTTTGATAAGATTAACACTCAATATTCATGACCGTTTTTAACGTTTATTAAATATGTAAGAAATTGTTGTGTGGTATGGTAGTATGAATTGATATTATATATAACACTTGAGTATAATATTGTCCCTACTTCCCGGAATACTTGCACAGTACATAAGTACACATTTAACAATGAAAATTTCTCGTCTATATATCCTATATAATATATAATCGTATTTAATAATAGTTATAAGTTATAAGTTATAGGTAGTGGATAAAAAAAAATGAATATAATACAATATTATCAATAATTATTATCTGATAATAGTATAGGTATAATGTATGTGTACTATAATATTTAGGTGTCTAATTAAATAATCAAAAATAAAATCAGTTTGTTATTATTCATGAAGTAGAAACTCCTGGGTTAGTAGGTATGGAGGTACGTTGCTGGAATCTAAAAATCACATAAAATCGAACATAAATTTATTATAATTGCATTGGATACCATTTGGTACATTTTAATATTTATAATAATAATTTTTGAATAATCTAATTAACCAACAATATTTTTAGTTAAAAATTCAGTCAAAACTTTAAAAATATGTGGCAATGATATCGAACCTGGAAAAATTGATATTTGATACACCTTATTTAAATAAAATGTTTTAATTATTAATGATATTATATTTATTAATGAATTAAAAGTTGAAATGCTTATAAAACATTAGACAATTAAGAGGACGTCACACTGGTATGTATTGTCTCCGTCTTATAAACATACAGTATAATAAATTGTACATTAACGATACATATTATATATAATCCATTTTAATCTTTAATTTACAAAATTAGAACAATTGACCGATGAAAAAATTATGATAAGGTAAGATTATTATCTAGGATATCTCGGGGATTTTTTTGAAGTTATTATTAAGTAAGTTATAAAATGTACAAACAATCTAAAATTTAAAATGACCATAACTTCTTTCTAATACAATTAATATCATGAATATCAATAAAAACCTCCGAGATGACCAAGAATCAAAATAATATTATTCTTAACTTTAATTTTATAAGATGCCAATTCACTATAATTTTTGAAATTACTGAATAAAATGTATTATTTTGATCGTAGGATTGTCCATTTTAAATTTTAGATTGTTTGTACATTTTATAACTTACTTAATAATAACTTCTTTCTAATACAATTAATATCATGAATATCAATAAAAACCTCCGAGATGACCAAGAATCAAAATAATATTATTCTTAACTTTAATTTTATAAGATGCCAATTCACTATAATTTTTGAAATTACTGAATAAAATGTATTATTTTGATTGTAGGATTGTCCATTTTGTACTACGTTTGTAAGACGGATACAACACATGCAGAAATGGTATCCTTTTAATAATTTTAATTGATTTATTGTTATATTATTATTTAAATAATAGTACATATATGGTTTGAAATAGTACCTATATATTTCCTACATAGTATTAAGGAGAATTGTATTTTAAAATTTAAATAGAATAAATATAATTTGTATAGTTTAGAATCATGATAATATTAAATCAATTCGCATATGTTTGAAAAAAAAAAATATCCATAGGTACAAACTATATTTTGATTTATTTAAACAATTGTTTAATCAATTTTTTTAAATTAAATTTTATATCTAAACGATCTTTAGTGTGAAAGTTTAACCTAAATAAACCTAACAATAAAAATCAAATGCTTTGTTAGAATGATAACATGTTTATTTGAAATCTAAAAAAAACATTGTTGAATTTCAATTTTTAAACCTACAAAATTTGTTTAAAAGAAAAAGAAAATAGGTTTATTTTAATATATATTTATATTTTTCATATAAATTTTTTTTTAAACTAAATATTTATTGAAATACAAAATATATTGTGTATATATTTCCAAACATACCTAGTATATGTAGTATTCGTATTCATTATAAATGTAATTATTTGTACATTGTCGACCAAACTTACTTTTATGGTATAATATCTTAACGAAAGAATCGATTCAAGTAATTCTTGCGATCTTCTTCTGTTTCGCGGGCTCTACGAGCTTCTTCGGTTTCACGAATTCTTTTTTCTGCTTGGTATTCATGATCTTCTTCAGGAGTTGCTGCAGAAAACTCAAGAATTCGCTCTTCTACCGGCATACCTTCAAGGAATGTAATTAATCTAAACATTTCGGGATTGTGCATGGCCTCCTCATTGACCTCATTAGAGAGGTTAGATGGTTCTCGTGCCAAGGAAATCCTTACTCTGTGAATCATACGAGTGTCGATGTTTTTTTCCTCGTCCGCTTTATGGGACTTCGATACAATACCAGGCATGGCTATCAGTCCAACGACAGTACTATCGTGCATACAATAATATAATACAATATATCACTATTTAAMAATTTTAATCATTACATTAATAACCATAATAATTAATAGGTATTCGTATATTATCTAATATTAAACAACATATTAAATTATGTGTTTTGTATATAGGTATATTATTACTGTGATTTAAAGGTTCTAGACATCAAAGTATATGGTACATTAAACATTTACAAACAAATTTCTTAAAAAATCCCGTTTATTCATAATGTTTTGTGGTAGGTACCCATATATCAAYCTATTAGGTAGATATTTTAATATCAATTTAAAACTAATGAGAAAAAATATGATAAAAATATTAACAAGACTCAAATACTATACCAAATTAGAACTACCTATATATAATCATATAAATAAAATATAATATTTTTCCATTTTCGTAGGACGTTTTGCTTCAATATTAGCAGGAAAGTCGAATTGCACTTGGATTGAAAAAAGGTAATGGTTGAACTGCACTCAGGAAAAAATCAGATAGTGATATTTTGACTGCACAGATTTTTTGTGTGATGTAAATATATATATATATGTAGACGGGGCATTAAGAACTATTCTAAATACTATACCCAAATTTTCACGATTTGTGGTTACTATAAAGATTCATAGGTACGAGTATGTTCCTCTTGTATTTTTGCTGTTGCCTACGAAATAGTCGAATATTTTTGTTAAAGCATCTCAACATATTGTTAGGTTATAGATTATTACGCATAATTATTATTTTAAAAACATTATTATTATTATTATTATTATTAAAAACAATGCAAGCAATCACACACATTTTTGGGAGACTACTC